TTATCACAATGGATTGAATTTTATAAAACGTTCGAGAAAAAAATAGAATATATTTAATCGCTTATAGAAGACCAGTTAAATTGGATTTGATGATATTGTTTTAATGGCAAACACTGATAAGCTGATAACATTGGCAAAAGAAAAAGGGGTAAACCAAACAAAACGTTGATTAACCAAATAAAGGAAATTGGCGCAAAAAGAGGAAATAACTTTAGATGAACTAGGGACCATTGCTAGAATGGACCTAAATGGAAAAACTAGATAAAACCCAGAAACCCTGAAGGTAAAAGTATTTTCCGTCGAAGAAGAACATTTTGTTTATTTTGGAAATTTTTAATAATCTCAAAATTTTGGAAATTCGTCCTACTATAGAAATTTTGTCGACCATTTTTTAAATTTATGCACGTAAAGGCAATTATCCAATCTTGTTCGAATTTAGACATCCGAAAATGTCGTCAAAAGTTATAAGACTAGAACAGTTTTTGACATATAGTTAATTTTCTATATAATATGGCATACTTTCATAATTTTTGACAATCTTTTTGGATTTAGGGAACATTAGAATTAGCTGTTAAATGTCTGGGATACAAGTTGCTGTGGACTACAGTTATTAGTGACTGCTTTTTCACTTTAAACACTAGTTAAACGCTCAAACCCCCCATCGGTAGCAGAACACGCTCAAATCTTGTGACTTCCTTTTGCGACTTCATGCTCTCCTTAGTAAGTATGATCAAATTGTAAATTTTTTTGGTAAAGTTAAATTCGCATAAAATGTTTTACTTTTTTTGACAGAATCTGGTAAAGCTGCTCTTAACGCGCCAAACAAAGTATAACTTTAAAAGATATACGACCGATTAGGTTCTTTTTGAAAAACGGTCAGTAAATCTTTGTACTAGTTATCACTAACTTACCCAATCGATTTAATTTTTATTAACTGTCAACAGATTCAAAATATGATATTAAAATTGCCAAGAACTTGACCATCATTTTCATTGAATGAATGAATGTTATTTATATAATTGAATTACTGCGTGATACTTTAAAGCAAGGTAAACTTGGAGATAATAATAACTTTGTAGAATGGCAAATCTTCCTTAATAGCTCTATTAAACATAACATTTATTGCACATAGGCAATTTTTTTATAGTTTATAGCGAATAGTGCCAATGAAAGTAGATTTAAAATCCATTTGAGATTCCTGACAGAGTACCATGCAACTTTCCTTGCACTGCAAATGTAGTGTGAAGGTCAACGCGTTTAACATGAGCTTGCAGATTTGGGTAAATATGTGATTAGTTTAATAAAATGCGTTAAATGAACCGCCCATTGTTTACACGCCTTTTAAGCTTAAACTTTTGTTTATGATTTACTTTCCACATGTTCTATATGCATTAAATTATATTTTTAATGATCTATTTTAAGATGAGTAGGTATCACGATTTTTAATTTATATTGGATGATGTGGGTATTGTTCCATTTCTTAATCGTAAATCCATAACCAACTGTAAACGGTACCCATTGTAAATATCCACCCAGCGCAGCCTTAAATTTGCCATAGCATAATAATAAATTTTGCGGCGAGTCAGAAATTCTCGGCAAATCCTTGTGAAATAAATTTCCTACCGCGCACAATTTCACACATCTCCTTTTACGTTGTATTAATTAAGTGTTACATTTAATTTTATAACAGCCTGTACCATTAATATTTCGAACAAAATAATACCAATTGCCGGAAACCATGACAAATTATACTTGCCTGATGAATAAATAATTTATAGGAAGGCTTTAATTTGCAGCAAGTTTACGCGGGTTTGCAAGAGACCGCCGTTAAACAGCCTATCCTGATCCATGTTTTCTTTTTTCAAGGCCTGTGGGAAGATGATCTATCTACATGCAGATACCTTGCACAGAAGTATGTGCTTAATTAGCTTATCTTGTATGATAAACGACTAAACGCCGATTCCCTTTACTTGGTAAAAATAACAAATTATAAGGAATATAGTCAATAGGATGAAGAAAACATTTTACAGATTTTAAGACATTTTTAAAAGGTTTTAATTATAAGGATATTGTTATTATGGTTCTCTTATTGTTATTATTGTTCTCTTATTATATCGAGAAACACTTTAACAGGTGTCAAGTTCACAGATGACAGATAGCTGGTGACAGATAATGCGTGACATAAAAGAAAACTTAAAAAAACACGTTGCCAGGTTGGATTAAATTTCCCAAATTATTTTAATTTTTAAATGAAGTTTTAATTCGATTTTGGCTTATTTAATATTTAAATAAGTGTATTTAGAACTTTAAATGTAAAGAAAAAGGAATTTTTAAAAACCTCAAGAATAGAAGTCAAACCACTGTCTACATTGCATGGACTTGATTAAGAACTTTGAATGGAAAGGAAAAGGAATGTTTAAAATCTAGAATCTCGAAAACAATAAAAAATCGAATAACAAGCCCAATTAGCAATATAGTAAAAAAACTGATATCGCAACTTCAAATGAGTGGCAATTTCGTTAAAATAAATAAATCTACCACCATACAGTTGAAATACGATCGTATCTGTTATGACCTCCTCAAAGTTGTCTAAACCTTAAAGTGTATTATAAATAGTAACCTCAACAAAACCACATAACTTAAGTAGTACTTTAAAGTGGTATTAGTAGTAAAGTGGGTATACCAGTTTAGGTAACGTTATCGAAACTTTTCCCAAACCTTAAATGTGGCAGAACTTGATTATATATTTGCAGTGGTCATTGCCACGTTCTTGCTACATGCTTAAGAGATTTAACGTTTTGCATAGGATTACCACTTTAAAGTTCCCTTCTTCAAAAGCAGACAGGTTTGCAAATAGTCGACATTGTATGAAAATAAATGTGTAGTTTTAAACAAATAATAAAATTAATAATAATTATTATTGGTTTCAGGTGACCAGAAATATTAAAAAAATTATTTGTGGCCTCTAGATAAATAATTTTTAGATCCGCTATGTTTACAAATTTTTATATTTTTTTCATTACCTACTACATATTTCAACGAGACGTGCTTATATTTCGAGCTATGACACCCATGTTTGACAACAAACTTTTATTAGTGTTAATTTTCTTAGGAATATTTTAATTCTAGTTAGGTATTATTTGGAAGTTGTATTCTTACATTATAATAATTTTAGAATTCAGTGTCAGTTTAATATCCAGTTTGAGAGAAAGCAAAGATAATAAGATGCTGGAAAGAGACGAAAATAGAAATTAAAGAGTAATACAGTTTTAATTAAGTTTTGGCCACTATAAAACTATATAAACTTGTATACAATCCAAGAACGTTGTTGGAAAGTATCTGTCACTAAAAAAGTGTCACTTCCACGTAATTAAACCGTTTCTACCACGTGGCAGAGATTCATGCATAAAATACAACCTTGAAATTTTTCTCTGAGTTTTAAATTAGATTAAAAATAAATGAATGAAAACTAAAAATGAAATTGGAAAATTTATTCCAACCTGGGAACATGGCCTTTGACGTTTTCTTCGTCACATGTCACTTGATATTATAAGAAATTATAAAAAAACAATCATTAAAATACTGTGTGAATATAGGAAATTTTGTTAAAACCTTATCCGATAACAATAATTAAGTTTTTATTATTATTGTTTTTATGACTAAAATACTTCCTTGAATTTTTTTTTCACCTGACTTACCCTGTATACAAAACACATCAAAATTTTGTTTTTAATAAAAATAGGCCGACACAAGACAGTTTACCCAGCATGATATTCTATAGGACAGATGGGAATAGAGGCAACTGTAATAATAAGTTAGCAAGGTTTGCAAGCTGGCAAGGTATATTCCCAAAAATTTGACTTTGGCTCTATGCTCCAATGAAACTTTGTTAAGCTTTATTAGTAGACTGGTTGTGCAAAACGCCAGTGGGTTTAATTACCATGTGTTGCCTTTTATAGGAATTTATTATGAGACCAGTGCAGCGCACTGCCGTTTTACCAAGATGCCACTTGTTTGGAAGATGATTTGCCTTAATACGTCTATAGAGAAAATCTTAATATTGTTGGTGCGTCCGCTAGTATATGTATTGTCTGCCAGTATATGTATTGTCTATAGTATTTGTGGCAGTGTAGTCAAGCCCGCGGGTTAGCAGCTAGTTTTTTATAGAAAGTAAATACTCAATTTTTAAAGAACAACCCCAGAAAAAAACTCAAGTAATGTATATTTTAAATGATTCTTAAGAAGACTATTGCTAGAATAATATTTATTTAAAAACAAAGTTTAATAAAACCTTTTACGACTATTGGAAACAACACAATCCACACAACAAGGTCTGTTCTATCTCATGCTAAAAATACTAAAAATCACTGCAACACTGCACAGAGTTTAACGGAGGCCATTTTTGTTGTTTACAATTCTTGTGCTTTGGGTTTGTGCTGTTTAATAATTGTTTTAAACGTTGGGTTTCTTACAGAGGCACTTGTAAGCCTCAAATAAGGCCTTTTAGTGCTAAGGACAACCATTTTACTTCTCTTTTATAATAAATATACCTTATTCTATCAGGGCTGTCAAATGACAATTTGAAGGTTAATTTCTGGGTTATAATTTAACCTTAAAATTGACAGTTTTATGACAGCCCTGATAGAATAAAGTTTATTTTTTACAATAGAGGAGTAAAATGGTTGTTCTTAGCACTTTAAGGCCTCTTTTAAGGCTTACCATGAGAAACACAACGTTTAAAACGATTAATAATCTGTATAAACAGAGCACAAACCCAAAGCACAAAAACTGTAAACAACAAAAATGGCCGCCGTTAAACTGTGCAGTGTTGCAGTGATTTTTTGTATTTTTAGTACGAGATAGAACAGACCTTGTTGTGTGGATTGTGAGAAACAAGACAACTTATTGTTTTTATTATTCGCAGCCTTTTGTAGAAAAAAACAATTTTCTTTAATATTTTTAGTTAACGTATTAAATAAAATTTTATGTTTGGTTTCCAGAATGAGAATACCTCTGACATCACATTATCAACTGGTTGGCCGCTATGTCACGGAAAATCAGGAATAGTCGCCCATCTAGGCCAACTAGACCCCTCCACAGTCCGTAACCGGGACTGTTACCTTTGCGTCCGCACCCGCAGCGCGCCAGGCATAGAAGTAACCCTCTTCTGGCGCAACAACCACGAGCTCCATTGGCGTACAATCGCCGAGTTTCGCGATCCGCTGCAAAACCTAGATGACATCATGTGTTCGAGTCTGAGATCGCCCGCCGACCTGGAGATCAGTTCCTACGATGATTACGACGGCAGAGAACTTCCGGAGTTGCTTCAGAACTTGCTGGTGTCGGTGGAACACGCAATCAAACGGGTGCCGCTCGACGATCTCGCGTTTCCGTGTCCGCAATGCCTGCAGTTTTTGCCGGTTGATCGCCTGGACGAAGATCCTTCGTCCTGCGTCTGTCAGTGCTCGTGTCGGTTACCGGAAAGTCCTGCCCCTATGAAAAACATTTCCGTACAAACTAGTCCCATGTTCGAGTTCGTTAATTCCATACCGCATATTGATAGCGACGAGGATGACGAGAAGGAATCGATTCGTTCTGGTAAGTCAAATTTTGCAATGTTTTTCCATTGTATCCAATAATATTACCATTAACGTATATTTATAAAAATAATATTTAAATTTAATAAATTAAACACTAGGGTGGAGTGAACTTTTTTTATTTATTAATTGATTTTTTCTGTATTATTAATTGTTGACTAAATGCGTAAAATAAATAAATATCAAAAAAATATTCAAATTTTTTAATATCTTGAGGTGGCGCATTAATCTCGAAGTTTTGAAAATTCTAAAAAAATATGACTTTAATCAAAGTTTATTTTAGTAAAATTAACGTGAAACGTAAACATATTTAATAGTAAATCATAAGTTTTAAGAAACTTATTCACTATACTGGTTATAACCAGTTTTACACAGCGTTCCACTGCTTGGGTTTGACACGGAAATTTTTGGAAGTATAGGAAATGGTCACCCGAAGAAATCATATCGGTAATTTCTGTCATCGTATTTCATAGTCATAGGTGGTTCAGTTACCTTTTCTGTCGCCCAGTGAATTAACTCGTAATAATGTAATGTTTAGTTGTGGAAACTTTAATTCCCGTAATCAAGAACATTTTGATTTTTTTCTCGCCTTTAATATTTTCCGCAATGCTAGTTCTCTGATCGATAGATATCTTGTAGGTAACATAGCAAGTAATAGGTTTTCGGGATGTATATTTCGCTGAATATTATTTATTATAGTTATAAGGCCTTCAAGTTTTTCTGGAGGTGTAATGCTCTTTTAGTCATTTTAAATATGTGAATAGGCCCATGTTTGCACGTAGGCTTGGTTTTGATGTAAAACCACGTTGGGGCATACACTTTCATGATAAAAGTAGCCAATTATTTTAGGTTTGCCGATGGATTTGCCACTACTTCCTAGTTCAGGCACATCTCCAGTTCTTTACTAATAACACCTGAAAAACTTTTCGACCCTGTTGTTGTACAATCGAGGTATGCGAAGTAAACACACAAACCACTGTAGACGGCGACCAAGTTATTTTTCCAGTAAAACGATGTCCTTTTTTTCCGGGGTACCATCACATCCTATTGCAACCAAATTTTAAAAGCACGTTTGCATGAATTCTTTGAATCGCATTTACAAGGAGCAGTCATTTTTTATGGTTTACCTATTACAAGACCTCGCCAATCTTTACGAGTTTTAGGTATTTTGCAACGGCTCGATTATTAAGTCGGTATACAAAAATTATTTAATGATTGATGGCGATGCGGTGAGCGCCTCTATCGGATGGGAGTATAACTAATACTAAACCATGGATATGACAAAAAGATCAATATTGGTTTTAATCTATAGACATAATAATAACAGTATATTGATAAAAATCCGCGCCTAACACAGAATTTGTTTTTTTGAAGTCCTAGAGTCAAAATGTTTTAGTTAATGTACTCATATGTGGTCAACAATAAATAATACAGGATAGAAGAAATACAAAAAAAAAAAAATTTACCTTTTCACTCCACCCCATTAAACACCTTGTTATAAAATTATAATATTTAATATAAAAAACACTATAGCTTGGTTTCAACAAGAGTCATGTATTAGTCAGAATTTTAGAAATTAAGTATTTTAATAATTAAGATCCTTAAAAGGATCTTATTGGTGGTGATAACAATAAAACTTTAATTTAAATTTTAAACATGTACTTTCAAAAAGACCATATTATTTTATTGGACACGTTAATAGTTAATAGGAATAGAAATAAATAAATCATGATTTGTTGATGCGGTTTTAATTGGAGACAGTTTGTAAATTATTAATTCAAATTAATTTCCGGAGAAATTACAGTAAAATTTAATGTTTGAAATCTTCGTGAGAGAGAAGAGCTAAATTTATTCGACTTCCCAAAAAAATCATTACGTGCACTACGATTTGCACTGATTTTTGCATATTTACTCAATCGTGATGGTTATCGTGCTGTGAAACACTTCCTATTGTCTTAAATTTTTTGAAATAAAATTAGTAAAAATTTGCTCAAATGTTTAGTAGCCACATGGTTGCAAACCAGTTGCAAATACCGAGATAATTATGAATTGTTCTGCGATAAGTTGGCTTTGAACCAGCTGCAGTAACTCTCTATGCAAATTAATAAATAGATGTCATTCGGTAATAACAAGTGTTTATTTAAAGTTGTATGTGTGGGCAGTTCAACTACCTGTGGGACAAATTTGTCTCGGATATGTATTACGTTATCATTAAATGCCCATTATCTCTATTTAGATTTTATATTAATAAATAAATAGTTTGTACACTAAATATTTATTTTCTTAAAATCACTTAATTTTCCTTTTTATTATAATTTAATTTTGTGTAAAAATAATAAAAAATTATAACAAAAGCAGGGTCCAGCAGATATTATGTAACTCGTTTATGGACTAAAATAAAGTGCATAAACTAAATAAGCACTTTGGTTTAACAACTACTTCCTGTACTTTATACGGTATAAATTATACCAAATCTTTGTTTTTATATTTTCAGAATATAGAAACAGTTGAATAATTTTGAGGGTATACCTATATAATATTAAGGCTTAGTTACTAAGCAGTTTTGTTACTGGGACATTTGCAATGTAATTGACAAGAACCATCCTTTATACGATATCTGTCAATATTCAGATCAATCTGTTTGGCAAGTTTTGATTTTACAAGCCTTTGAATCAAGTAACTTTTGCATTTTTGGAAAACCATGAAAAAAGTGAATTTTGTGTCTTAATTAAGCACTGTCTTTTAATGGGGAAAAGAAGCGTTAAAGCAAAAGAGTGGCTTAAAAGTCATTACGGGGACCGAGCTTGCACCAGTGTATTCTGGACAAATTTTCGTTAAATGTACATTTGATGTCCCCAGCTAATTTTATTTTTATTTTTGACTTTTGTTGATACGTTTTGTAATTATTATATTTAAATACTCCCTTCCTCTCAGGACCCATCGTATTTTTTTTTAATTACTTTGTGTTTCTTTATATGGCAGAAAAACTAGGTGAAATGTCCTGTAACCTAACTGTCCCCAGAGGTGATTTTTTAATTTAAATTGTTAAATTCTTCTTCTTTGCAGCTTTCTTCTGAAAAATAAATTATTTTTGAACAATGGAAAGTTCTTTTATTCGTATATAAAACTAAAATAGTTTTCTACAAAGAAGTTTAAACAAAAAAAAATATTGAAGTTGACATTCAAAAATCTTGTCTTCTTCCTAACGTCGTCTTCTATGCAGACTGCTTCGAAATAGAGACACGAGATAGAGATACTAGCGTTTTATTTTTAGAGGGCATCCGGTTTGATAGTTCGGCAACAACAAGTGAGCACGTGTAAAGTGTGTGAACAGTTATATAAATATTTTTTTGCGTACACTTTTTGGTGTCTTTACAAAACGCTACATACAACTCTTGTTTTAGAAGTTACCTTTTTTATTTTCATGTTGAATTATAGCATATTAGAAATGCCAAACAAATGCCGAAAGATATTTACAATTAACAGTATTTCTGAAAAATAACGTTTGAAAAAGTCAAAAGCAATATGTCATGAAACCTTCAGGAAGATGCGTAGGAGAAGGACAATGTTTCATTTCTTCCTTGTGTTCCTTCCCTATTTCAGATTAACCCTATAAGTTTTATTTCTTTAAAGTTTATTTTTGTTATTTACTCTATAAACTTCTAGAATTTTTTTTGCAGTCTATTGACCTGATTGGACAAAATATATATACAAAATGTACATTTAACGAAAATTCGCCCTTCTACCATTCGAAGCTGTGAATACATTTTTTAACGAAAACGAGCAATTGTTCTATTCTAAAGAAATGAATTGGAATGAATCTATGGAAAAAATAAAACCTAATTTAGCTCAAAATATTCCATTTTCATACAGATTGTGAGGACTTACCAATATGCCCTCGTTTAATATTAAATTTGTTTGTTTTTGTAGATCCATATTAAAAAAACGCATATTGGCAAAGAAAGAAAAAATTATTTGTAGAATTTAAGTAGTCTAAATAAATTAAAAAAGAAAACTGAGTTGATTTGTATGTAAATACAAAAAAATGTGGAATTTTAAAAGAAACAACGATTCCCCATACAAAATTATGTTATGGTTTCTAATGAATAAACTCTACTTACGTACCATGGAACCATAATACCATATTACTAGAGCGATATAGACCATTTAATGAGCGAACCATGGTACCATTACCATAGTACAATGGTACATACATAGGTGTGCCAATCGCTCAATCAGATGCAAGCAAGTCTGGTACGCACAGAGAAACCGAGAGGAAAGGATTTCAGGCCTAGTAGTTTCAACTTTGAAGGCTAATAACTTATTTTCAGTACATTGGAAGGTTTTAAGTTGATATAAAATTTATTTATATTATAAATTCTATTGAAGAGTAAACCATAAAGTTGGCTGTGCGACGAATATAACGCAAGATTTGAACGATTAAAAAAACTAATCGAAGATGACGTTTGAAGGGGGAATTTGGACAGTGCGCAAATTCAGGATTAAGGTTTCGAATAAGCAAGAATAAAAAAAATTACCCAAAATGTATGGGGTCAATTACTAAATGCACTGTAATACAGTTCACAACAAATATTGCTAGATTACTGAGATTTTTAAGATTGTTTTTTAAACAATTTGCTAAAAAAAATTACATTAATTTTTTAAGCTATTTATAAAAAAAAGTTAAGTTTAGTGTAAAGTAGCGCTTTTAAAACATTCATATTGTCTAGGACCTACAACGCTAGATTTAAACAACTATAGTTACATATATGGCTTTTGAACAAAATTTACAGATATTTAAAAATAGTTTAATAATGTTTGTAATTTTTTCCAGATTTTTTAATGCTCCAAAACAATATTTTTTAGTAAATTAAAAAAAAACAACCATAAAAAAGCTAAAAGATATCTGGCAATATTTGTTACGACTCAAGACGAAATGGTTCAAACTTGTTTATTGAATTCTTTAAATGAAACTACAAATTATGTGTTAAAAAATTATCT